AATCAGTTTTTTATTGCCCTGCATAGAAAATCTGGATGATTATATTTTATTTTTTCAATCGTTTTTTACTTTGGCGTTTTATATACAATCCTACAGATGATGTGTTCAATTATGGTTGGCTCAAAAAGTGGATGATAACTGTATCAATTGTCAAGCGGGTGATGAGTAGTCACTAATTGTATATATATTATTATAAAATAATAATAACTGCAAAAGGCAGTCATGCTAATAAAAGAGTAAACGCCCAGTCTCCGTTACTGATATCTTCTTATATTCTATCAAATAATAAAAAACATCTTTTGTTTGGTATTATTCAAAATAAATTTTTCAGTTATATCTTCATGGGTACCCGACATGTAGGTGTAGCACGGCTGAATAAGTAGTTGCAAAAGGCCACAACGCACTTTGATCGTCAAGTTGGAACACCAAATTAATGTTCAAGGCCTAGTTCTGAGCCCATGCGTCCAGCATGACAGGAGAGTGGATGTGGCCAGCTAAGTATGGGCCTTAACAGCGCTCAATGGGGCTAATGATTTGGGCCTCGCAACAATACTGGGCAACGGCACGCTCCAAGACCATCGTATCATTTCCTATATATAAATAAATATAAACGGCTAAATAGGCCAACAGCGCGTCCGGTCTATCTTCGTTCCTTTACATCGAGACTCTTTCTTTATTTTTCTTATTATATTTTTTATTTTTATTTGATTTCAACCGTCACAAAGTGCTGTTATATACGCCATAGGGCCATAAATAATTGGAGGATGTTTATACTACACATAAGTAAATACTACGTTAGTTAAAAAACCTTTTTGATTGAGTAATGTCAGATTTACCCTCCTAAAGCTATCCCTAGATTTTTAAAATCATCCTCCAACTTGAATATAGAATAATTTTACATTCTTGAGTGGAGGTGTTCTGAGTTGTTTTAGTTGTTAGCTAGATGTTAGGGTAGTTGAGTTGCTAGTTGTGTCTGTTTCGACCAAGTTGGCTTAGAGTTGAGCAAATAGTGGAGTGAAGTTTCCAGTTGTTCGGTTCGATGTATTGAAGTTTGTGACTTTTGGAGTTGGTTTTCAATAAAAAAAAATTGGGCCAACAATCTACCTTTTATTTTCTCCATCTCATAAAAATTGCGGCAAAGCTTTTGTTGTCTATTTGAAAAAAAAACTTATAGTTGAATAGAGAGAGTGTAATATATTAGTAGATATGTAAAAGATAAACATGATTACCCGTCCTAGGGGCGACAACGGCGACCCTAGATAGAAGCGATGGAGGCCTGGGAGTCTGGGCGGAAGAGGATAATCCTCGGCGGCAGCGACAGAGGACTCTGACAGAGGCGACTGCCATTATCCCAATGACGGCGGCTGCCCTATGGGCGGCGGAGACCTTGGAATCTAGTGAATTGGAAGCGGATCCAGTCGGCTCACGTCTAATCGACTGTAACACCCTAAAATTTGCTACTTTGGAAATATAGTTAAATCAATTTAATTTCGAATTTATGTGCACATGAAACATAGGAAAGATAACAATTTTTATTAAATTAAAATTTATCATAGGGCTTAGTAACATTAATGGTGCATTCATGCTAGCGCATATAATTTATTGAAGTGAGTGGTTTTGGTCAAAATTTCAAAAAGGATTTGAATTGCTTTGAAAACAAGTTTGAAATAGGTTTTGAAATAAAGGAAAATAAAAGAAAAAGGACAAACTCGCCCTCTCTCATTTTGGCCCGAAGGCCCAGCTCATTTTTTCTCTTCCCCGCCGGCCTGCTTCCCCCTCCCTTCCGGCCTAGGCTGGCGAGCCCAACTCGGCTTTCCCCTTTCCTCTTCTCCGTGAGGCCCAACAGCGCCGTCCCGTCGGCCCAGTCTCCCGCCGCACCATTCCTCTCCCGTGCATCCTCTCCTATTTCGCTGACGCGACGGGCCCGCTCGTCAGGAGCGTCTTCTTCCCCTTCGTCGTGTCTGAGCCGGATATCAACCGACCGAGAGTCTGCGCTCTCCTCGCTTCCCCCTCCATTTTGCATGTGCCGCAAGCCGCCTTGCCCTCTTAAATAGCAGACCCGCCTAGCGCCGCCTTCCATCAAAGCTGAGCAAGTCCGCCGTGTCCTCATGCCCTAGAACAGCACCGCCGCAAGCTTGAGCACTACCGCCACTGTTGAACCGCCGATTCGCTGCTTCTCCGCCTCTACGACTTCCTTGCCGAGCTCCGCGAGAAGGTAAGCAACCCTCGGGAATGATCTATCCCTCTATCTCGCCTTATACCACCGAAACCGTGCCGCCGTAGTTCCCCAGCGAGCTCTGAGCTGCCCCTACCGAGCCAAGCTCGTCCCACGCTGTCGCAGCCCTCTCCGACCCCACTGACGGGTTCCCCGTGGTGCCCTCTTGCTCCACGTGCTCTCGGTTCGCTCCGCCATGGCCTATAGGCCGTTTTCGAAGACCACCGGTGAGTTTCCCGCCGTCGGTAATGGAGTCCACCGCGCCGGCGCCACTGTACCGGCCAGACATCCCCCTCCATCTCACCACGGCCATCTGATCTTGACCCAACCGCCTAGATTACCCGTACCCCTTCGCTGTGAGATTTGCAAAAAGACCGTTACAACTATTGAAGTCTTAACCTGTAGTCTCTGTCTTTCTTTCAAAAGAGACCCTCGGATTTTTGTTTATAAAACTCACAGTTCGTAGCACTTTTTCGAGAGTACGTTTTCTTCTTTGGAAAGCATAGTTTCATCGGTTCAGATCCAAAATACGTTTTCACCTATATACAGTTTTGCCACTAATCTTGTTTTAGCCATAAAATCTCCGTTTTAACTCTGATTTGATCCATTCAACTTGCGTTAGGTTCGTAATTCCATAATCTACATGTTCATACTACTGTTATGTAGGTTTTCAACTTTTAAAATTCAAGGTTAGATTTAATCGATTATTTTACTAAAGGAAATCTTGTTTAATTCATAACTTCTTCGTTTTAGCTCCGATTTTTGTGATCTTCGCGTCTATGTGTTCGTAGTGAGATGTAGATGCATTTTCCAAACTTTTCATCTTGATTTTATATTGTTGGTGTACTGTTCTAATCTATAGCTTTTGTTTGCTATGCATGATTGTATGGATGCCTATGTGGTGCTGTTTGATCTCAAGTAGACAGTGAGTTTTGTGTTGGTGATCTGGAGCAACGATTTGAAGATCAAGACCAGCAGCGATACATTGAATTAAGGCAAGTATAATATGAGGGTCCTTGTTATCTATTCACTTTAATGCAATCTCAATTCATATACATATGTTAATGAACAACTTGGAGTCTACCTACCTTGACATTGATTATCATGTCCTTGATTTATCTATGGGTTTTGCATGTGGGTAGTATGCTCAGTTTGCTCCAACTAATATTGATTAAGGAATACAATTAAAGATATATGCAGCATGATATTAAAAGATGTTTTTTAGCAACATGGAACCAAGGGGGCTAGAGCATTGGGCCTTATTTTATGGTGCTATAGTTTCTCTCCATAATGACTCATCTTTAAGTGACAACTCAGGACTTACAGTACAACCATGAGGACCACATGGTTCTGGTCTTAGTCCAGTACCTTGCTCTTTCTAGTTTGTAGCAGTTTACCGAAAGGGCAAGAGGGGCTTACCAGGCTGGGTATGGGCCTCATTCCTAGAGTGTGTACTATGCTACGTGTATCAGTGCCACTTTTGGAGATGACTCCATAACACTTGGGAGATGGAATCCTTAGTAGCTGCTCTTTATTAGAACGACTGGGAAAAGCTTCACAGTGTACCCTGCCTGCTCACTTGGGAAGTGTTTTGGGAGTAATTAACCCGGGTATATGGGCAACACGACTAGTGGTGAAAGTGTACAACCTCTGAAGAGTGTAAAACTGGTATATCAGCCGTGCTCACGGTTACGAGCGGCCTGGATCCTTACTGAATAGTTGGTTACTTTGATGGTTTGGGTTATGATTAAAATTGTTGATATCTCTAATTATTCATATTTAGGAGCCTAAGCATAACTTAACAACTTATGATTAATAATAAAATATGACTAACTAAAAGTGCTTACCGTAGTTCAGCCGCCTTTTGAGCCTACATCCCCTCATGTTATGCTTGCTAAGCGGTAGTAGCTTACGCTTGTTTTATTTTAATACTTTGGCAAAATCCCGGATAGGTACCAGATGAAGGTTCTTCAGTGGAGTTTTTCAAGAGGTGTTAGGCTTACGATTAACCAGTTGACGATTCCTGTGGTGTTGGAGGCTTCGCCCGAAAAAGAGTTATATCATATACTGTAAAGTAAGATTATGTCTTTTGTAACAAATATTTATGCGCTATGTAACAAAGGCATTGTCTTTGATATTACCCCTTTATTTATAGTTATATGTGTGAATTGAATTTCTGGGCACACGTATGGTGTGTATCTGGTTTTGTCCTTAAAACCAGATGCTACAAAGTGATTCCTAACTGGACGACGATGGATGAAGGTAGGCTAACCGGCGACGCGTGGCGTCACCTTACTTGAAGCGGATGAAGATAGCACCCGCGGAGGTTCGCAGCGATGGTGTACTCGGGGCAGCGGCGACTTGACGACTTCCACTTACCGAATCTGGTTGTTTCATGAAAGGATGTCGGGATGCAGGAATGTGTCGAGGTCATAGTTTTTTCCTCTTTTGATTGTGTGTTCTCCTCTTTGTTAAGGTGTGAGTCTAAGTAATGTTGTATTTTTTTGGCTGTGTATATCCTTTTGGATATAAAGGCATGATTAATGAATTCTTTATATATTAAAAACAGATAAACATGATTAGCCATCCTACACGCAACTTAAGCACATGAGCGATGGTGTGAGTATAAAAAAAACTCCCGACTTTGACCCAGCAAAAAAACCTTTATTACCAAACATTCTTGCCAACAAATCACGAAAAACTCTATAGCCAGGTTATTCTTACCAAACATTAATTCCCAGTCCCAGGCGCCCAAACCATCTCCCACCGACCCGTACCCGTGGCGATGTCGGCAGCAGGTCTCTTCCTCTGCCTCGTCTCCGCTCTCGCCTTGCCCACCTTCTCTTCCTCCTCGCAGTCGCTGGCCAGCGCCACCAGCGACCAACGGGACGCCGACAGGGTGGTGCGCCTCCCCGGGCAGCCGGAGAGCCCGAGCGTGTCGCAGTTCTCCGGCTACGTCACGGTGAACGAGCGCAACGGGAGGGCGCTCTTCTACTGGTTCTTCGAGGCGCAGACCACGCCGGAGGAGAAGCCGCTCCTCCTCTGGCTCAATGGAGGTCGCTTCTTCTCTACCGTACCTTTAGCAGTTACAAAATTTCAAAGGATTAGTTTCCATTGGAAATTACTGACCTTTACTCGATTCTTAGTGTACTGCTCCTACCATTTGTTCTGCTTCTTTAGTTGGTGAGCAGCGATGACCTGTCTGTCTTATTGGTTACTACTTACTGGTACATCTGTTCTTGCTTTTGTAGTTTATTCTTCTCTGTGCCGATTCATGTTCTTGGTATTTGTGATCATTTCATTTGTATGCATTGATGATAATTTTTCTGAATTACCTTTTTGTCTCATTTTTGAACTTCACTTCTTGCTACCCTTTGCGCGTTTGTTTTAATTTCTAGAAGGTTTAACTTGTGATTACCGATTTAGGACCTGGTTGCTCCTCAATTGGCTATGGAGCTGCATCTGAGCTAGGGCCTCTCAGAGTTGTCAGACGAGGAGCAGCGCTGGAGTTCAACGAATATGCCTGGAACAAAGGTGCTCTGCTTCCTGATTTCTGATTCTTTTTCATTCTCAAGGCTAGTTGCATTTGTTTCAAAGTCTTTCTTGTTCTTGCCAGAGGCTAACCTGCTGTTCTTGGAGTCTCCTGTTGGAGTTGGCTTCTCCTACACCAACACGTCCTCTGACCTTGACAAACTCAATGATGACTTTGTAGGTAAATTCATCATGTAACAACGTTAAATTGATCATAAAAGCACGCGGCCCACTAAAGGCTCCAATTCTTCGAAAGATTAAACTTTGCTTTGCTGTTCAGTTCCGGTCATTATGTGGTTACTACAAATGGGATTCTATGTAATCCTTTGCTCTTTCCAGCGGAAGATGATTATAGCTTCCTAGTGAATTGGCTAGAGCAATTTCCGGAGTACAAGGACAGAGAGTTCTACATCTCAGGAGAGAGCTATGCAGGTAATTTTGGCTACAAATCATGAAAGGTTTTCAACCTTTTTTTTTTTTTTTTTTGGGGGGGGATGGTTTAGAATTCTGGAATTCTGTTGAGAAACGTAGACAATGTGCTAGAAGGTATCTCTACAACACACAATCTGGTGCAAAGCATGGGAGTGTAGCTTTGTATGAGTCCTTTTCCATATTCCACTACCACTATGCAGTCCAAATGGAATGTAGCAACTCAGACTTTCACCAACCTTCTATTCTTGCTTGGATTTCTCAATATGCCAAGTATTCCTGTTTCTGCTTTGGTTCATCAATATGCCAAGTGTGCTTGACAAAATAGTTTCACCATCTTATCTGAAACTAGAATGTCCCTACAGAAAAAAAATCAGTTACTTTCTAGAAAGGATTGACAGCTTGGTTTTCCACTGGGTTGGCGATTACGACAACTCATTGTTCACGGTCTCAGAAGTGAATAATAGATATACAAACTGAAGAAAATGTCAGATCAGAAAGTAGCAATTCAAAAGATTGTAGGCATCATTTTCAGCCTTCGTTTTCATGACGCACTATGTGCTGACTGTCATCCAATTGCTCAGAACAAAACCCAAAAAGAAAGCCTGAGTGAAAATGATTTTTTTGCTTGGATCTTAATTTGAGAATGCAAATGGTGCCCATACTGAATTAATTTGCTTAATTTGGTTGAAATCAAGTACAAAAATTCATTTCCGGTATGTGCACATGGACATGGTTAAATATTTTTAATGATTCATTGGATCTCCAAACATATGTCTCTTAAAATAATAAAAAAATAACTAGTGTGGTAGGTTCATGAGTCACATCGGTCTTATAGTTGATGGCAACATCTATGGAGAAATGCCTTGAAAACTGTGTCTCCTGTACATCACTGAATAAGAAATCTCAACTTCCTATGCTGCTGGTCACTATGTGCCACAATTGGCTGAACTTGTTTATGATAGGAACACGGACAAGAAGGGCAAAGCATATATCAACCTCAAGGGGTTCATTGTGAGGATTTGAATTAGATTTATGCTGCAAGAATTTTCCTTTTTAAATAAATTGTTTCATGCGTAAAAAGATACAGCACCTGAATATATCTGCTGGTTGTCTGAATGTTATATTGCTTAGTAACAAATCCAAGTCAGACTAGAAATCTTCACAATCTCTACAACAAATGTAATATCACGTGAATTGAACATTCAGAAAACCAGAAGAAAACATTTTCCACCTTTTTTGGGATAGTGTATAAGGTTTCTAAACTTTCTATGTGGATATTGGTTATATGAACCCAAAAAAAAAAGAATGGAAACAAGAGTTATGTTCAAGCTATGCACATGAGAAATCAATTCCTGCTGGAACATAACACATTCAGAATGGACTTATTGTAGGTTGGGAATCCTATTACTAATTATTACTATGATTCAAAAGGGCTAGCTGAGTATGCCTGGAGCCACTCAGTTGTGTCTGATGAAATATACGACCACATCAAAAGGATTGCGACTTCAAGAACTTTAATTGGTCTGATGACTGCAATGCTGTCATGGATATCGTCTATAGTCAGTACGACGAGATTGACATATACAACATCTATGAACCCAAGTGCCTTCTAAACCAGAGTTCAGCATCTTCTGAAAATCATGCATTCTCCATGAATGGTCAGGTATAGTATGCTTGCATATGAATGCAGAAAGTTCCAGCAGGTCAAAAATCCTTCCAAAAATTAATGATGCTTACCTTCGAAATGCCAGGAGAAGTTCAGTAGGAGGATACTGGTGTTCTCTGGCTACGATCCGTGCTACTCATCCTATGCTGAGGACTACTTCAACAAGAAGGAAGTGCAGAAGGCGTTTCATGCTAATGTCGTCAGTGGATCGCTTCCAGTGAAATGGCATGTCTGCAGGTGGATTGTCTCAAAGATGTTCACTTGGATATTCTTAGTACCAGTCACTGAATTTGTTGACAACCAAAAATATTCATTTTGTGAAGTTGTCAAAATGTGAAATGGACTTCACCATTGCGTTCCTCTCATCGAGACGGTCAAAAAACATATATGGAATGTCTAATTCGGAGTCCGGATGAAAAAGTTATGCCCTCGGAAAGATGCCTCGTTGTCGGGAGTTCCGACCCAAGTCGACGTGTATCGGGACTTCCGGGAAACCTGAAGAAATCTGCTCAGGTATCTAGGGTTATCTCTACGTCGGGAGTTTCGACCCAAGTCGGGACTTCCAACTGTTGGAAGTTCCGACGGGTGTCGGGACTTCCGAGAAGCCTGAAGAAATCTGCTCGGGTGTCTGGGGTTATCCCTACGTCGGGAATTCCGACTGTCAGGAGTTCCGATCCAAGTCGGGACTTTCGACATACCTAACAGAAAATCCTGTTCAGATCTGGTCTTTTGGATTCTGATCCGAGCTGTTCCAAACTCGTGGGAAACTTAGAAAATAAGGCTTGGAGAGGTTTCCTACTGGGATAAGACCACCCCTGTATATATATATATGAGAGGATCATGGCCGATTGAGTTCCCATCTATCCAATTGTCACACAAACTAATCTATCAACTCTTTATGCCCTAATTCCCCTCTCTCAACCCCTTTTGCTGTTCGTTGAGTTTCTCGGCGAGATTCAGCGACATCCTAGGAGGCCTTGCTGGTTCTAGGAGGTCCTCCACGTGCTCCTCCCTAACGGGTCTTCCCGGGAGAAGTTCGGGAGCTTTTCCAGCCAAGAACAGGCTCTACATCGGTCTTTAGATTGGTTTGATCGATTACGCCGCGTTCTTGCTGCGTTGCAGGTTGTGTGTAACCTCTTCGGACGTCCAAGGCCCTGCTGGTGTGTTGGTTTGGGGTCATCCTCAACGTCAACAGAATTCTTCTGGAACAAAAAGAACATGAACTCATCCATCTCTTGTGAAGTGATCCCATCCTGAATTCCTACAATTTCTCCATATTCTCGGTCCTACCCATATACTCTAAGCTCATATGAGAGTTTGGCTCTACAGGTCTGGTTCTTTGAGGACACTGAGAATGTCCTACATCTATGCATGTTAGGCATAACTTCCTTTTCATGTGTACCTTCTTTGAAATCTCACAACAAGTGCATGCTCAAGTGAATTCTTCACACCCATCAATCATTCTCTCTATAATGCATCCGTTTATTTGTCAATGAAGTGGTGACGCAGATGGTAGGGTCCCAGTGATCGGCTCCCGGTACTGTGTGGAAGCACTTAAGCTGCGGATGAAGACCCAGTGGCAACCCTGGTACCTTGACAAACAGGTAGGTCTGAAGTCTGAACTAACAGCTTATCTGAACATCTTGTGCGTTGAATATATCAGTAGCCAGTGATGCTAAAAAAAATTAAAATGAGGGGCACAGCGTGGCATGCAGGTTTCTGGGAGGTTTGTGGAGTACTATGGGATGAGCATGGTGACGGTCAGGGGTGCAGGTCACCTGGTGCCCCTTAACAAGCCTGCTGAAGGGTTGACACTAGCTGATCAACACATTCCTCCGTGGTGAGCAGCTTCCCACACACCGTTGAACGTTTATAGATGGTGCGGTGGGATAGAGCAAGATTTCAGAGAAGATGGCATAGGATAAACTGCAATGATTGTGAAAATTGGAGTTACCGTGATGCCAGTTAGGGATCATGGTTCCGTGTTAAATAGCCAGGAACAGCCCCTGTGCGTGGCCTGTACAAGTGTACCTTGCATTACAAGATTACAGAGAAAGGAACTAAAACAATTTGTGCTAGCGTTCCTAGTCTAGAGATACAACAATCAATCACTCATACAAGGGAACAAGCAATCACGCCAATCACTGATATCTTAACACCCTCCGTTAATCACAACTTTCTGTGAAGTTGAGATTAATATTACATGGAAATGTGATCAGCCGTCGCTTGGGAAGTGCCTTTGTGAAGCCATCAGCCACCAGATCTTCTGAATGAATAAACCGAATATCCAGAAGTTTTTTGTGCAACTTGTTCTCTTGCAAATGATAATCAATATCAATGTGTTTGGTGTGAGCATGAAACACTGGATTAGTGTTATCCCACCATAACTGAGCTGCAGGGGCGTGTGGAATTGCTAAATCACAAAGTAACTTTTGAGCCCACATCAACTCAACAGTGGCATTAGCAAGTGCCTTGTACTCGGCTTCGGTGCTAGATCTTGATAGACATTACTAATAGTAGGAGATCACCTACTCTCTCCGTCCTATAATACAGTGCATCTTCAAAATTTATCCTCAAATATAATGCATTCTAAAGGACAAAAACCAATTTTACATTAAATATTTTCCAGTTATTAACCAATCACCATTAATCACGTTAATGATAGCATCGGATTAGGAAATGAAATGAGGATACATGCGTCTTTTATATTCTCTTAATTTGTCTTAAAATTCATAGAATGCAATATATTACAGGAGAGAGAGAGAGTATATGTCTTTTTAAGGCACGGATAGAAGATAAGTAATTTATGGGAGATGCTCTAACCATATAAATTTTAAGCTCTATAATTTGCCACCAAGTCACCATACGAATTGAACTCTATAGCCAGGAGCAATTTATTAACGGGACTTGCTAGCGTCCGGACGTTCGATCTGGGAACTAGCGGCCGGACATGCTCGCACAGAGAGCAAATGACCGCCTAGCGCATCGGGCTCGCGAGGGAGCGCACCAGTAGTGGTCCCATGCTGCCCCAGACATCGTCCACGCCACCGGCCGCTTCCCACGCGCATTCCATATGCAACACCTGATCTACTTTTGAAACATCCAGATGCAACAGTTGGAACATACAAAAGAAGACAAATAAAACACTTGAAACAAGCGTATGAAACACTTGCGAAAACGCCTGAAAAACATTTGAAAACTATTGTAAACATATACAACATCTAGATGAAACACTTTCAAACATACATATGAAACACCTGAAAACACTTGAAACATATGCTTGCAACATGCATGTATATGCAACATCTAGATCTACTTTTGCAACATCCAGACAAAACACTTGCACCATTCGTCTAAAATAAATGAAACATTTGGAACATACACTTAAAACATATGTGTATAGCCATTACAACATGTGCAACATCCCGATCTACTTTTGCAACATCGATATGCAACACTTGCAACATACCTCAGAAACATCTAAAACACTTGAAACAAACTATTGCAACATGAGCTTTCAGCGTAGCATCTGCTTGTTGCTCGGACGATTAGAGGCTCGTCCACGTGGAGCTCAACCCCGGTGGCGCGGAGGTCGCCGGTGGTGTGGAGCTTGTTGGCGGCACGGACCTCACTAGGGGCAGGGGCAGGCGGATGGACCATGTCCGCAACGAGAGGCGCGAGCGGACGGTAGGGGCGTGAGTGGGGGCGGCGCGGGCGGAAGCGGCATGGGCGAGTGCGGAATCCATCTGGACGGACAGCGTTTCCATTTATTAACAAGCCATAAACCCTTTTGAAAGGAAGGGTGTACAAACTGGGTAGGTAGGAGAGGGCCATGACTCCAAGAGGCCCAGCCGCGCAGCCCCTAACATTCCTCAACTCCACTTGCCAATTTCCATTCCCTGGCGCCCAAACCATCTCTCACCAACCCATGGCGATGGCAATAGCACGTCTCTTCCTCTGCCTTGTCTCCTCTCTCACCTTGGTCACCTTCTCTTCCTGCTCGCTGTCGCTAGCCAGCGACCAGTGGGACGCCGACAGGGTGACACGCCTCCCCGCCAGCCAGAGAGTCTGAGCTTGTCCTAGTTCTCTGGCTACGTCACGGTGAACGAGCACAACAGGAGGATGCTCTGTTAAGTAATATGCTGCTCCCCTGTACGAACGCGCGGCAGGGACAGACGTCGAAAGCCTCCCTGCCACTGCACTATAGCTGCTGTAGGGGCAGGCACCGAAAGGCTCCCCTGCCGCACTGTAGCCACAGCAGGGTCAGGCGCCAAAGTCAGCCATGCTGTCACATCTAGTCATTGTAGCAGCATGGCAGCCTGACATGTCTGTGTACTAGGATTTGATGGGTAAAGTTGTATATATAGTTTTTCACTGCAACTCAATAAAGAGAGTGAGTTCAGTTTTGCCATCTCCTCTGCAGAGCCCCGGCCAACGCTGGTTCATGTGCTGTGTGTGTGCGCACTCTGTTCTCACTCCTTTCTTCTACCTCTAGCTATAGTGTGTGGTCGACAACACTGGTGAGTGGTCGGCTCACCCGTGCCGGTGATCTAGGGGCTAACAACTGGTATCAGAGCCGTACAAATGTCATCGCCAGACTAATCGCTGGCGACGATCGACGGTTTGGAGATGGGCGACAGCAGCGGCACTGTTGTGGCTGCCCAGCCACGATAGGAGGTCATCGTGCACATGGTGTGGGAGGTCAGCAGCACCAGTTGGCCGACGCTGACTCGCACCAACTATGGCGAGTGGGTGGTGATCATGAAGGTCAAGCTCAGAGCCTGACGGCTCTGCAATGCTATTGACAAGGGCACCGACAACGAAAAAGATGACATGTCAGCATTGGAGGCTATCCTTGCTACTGTGCTAGCGGAGTACATGGAGCCGTTGGGGACGAAGAACTCTGCTAAGGAGGCGTGGGAGGCCATTGCAGCGATGCGCATCGGATCCGACCGTGCAAAGAAGGCGATGGCCCAGCTGCTGAAACAGAAGTACGCCACCCTCAAGTTCAAGGATGGTGAATCGATGGAGAACTTCTCCCTCCGCCTGCAGTCGCTCATCAGCAAGCTAAGGAGCCACGGTGTCACCATCGACGAAGAAGAGGTGGTCTCCAAGTACTTCCACTCCGTGCCGGTGAAGTACATCCAGATCGCTCTCTCCATAGAGACGATGCTGAACTTGTCCACCCTCACCATTGAGGATGTGATAGGCCATCTGCGGGTGGTGGACGAGCGCAT